TTTCATAATAAATATATTTTTCAAGATGTGAAGGTTTTCGCTGAAATTACATCTACAATTTTTAAAAAAAAAAAAAAAAAAGTGGATTTTCCATTACTATTTGGTAAAATCAAAAATGTTTAATAATTAACGGCAAGTGAGCAATACACAACTTGAAGTTTTTTTTAATCGTTTGAAATGGTTTTATTTTCTTTTGTATTCTTTTTTTTAATTTCTAAAGCAATACTTTAGTTGTTGTCGAAAAACTTATGGTGTAATTTTGATTGTTTGTAGTTACTGCATATAATATATTTCTAATTTTCAAACCTTCATAAAAAAAAATATGAGTAATAAGAAACAAGGTTAAGAATTTCATGTTTGTGTCGTAAAGTCCCATTTCCAACCGCAATACTGACGATGAGTAAACTTATACAAGTGGATTCACAATGAATCAATTCTCCGAAATAATAATTTTATAAAACTTAAACAGGAAAAAACCCTCTCAAGGTCATGTTCATTTTTTAATTTCTGTGATTAGCTTTTAATTCATTTTGACACTTAACAGGGTTTAGAAGACAAGGATCCGCTTGTTTTGGTAATAAGATTTAAAGTATCTCGTATTATAAAATGGTGATTTTGGTTCTTTGTCTGAATTTCTCCACTTTTTCAGACCTTGTGAAATGTCAAGATAACCCTTGTAAACACGGAATTTGTACCGATACTGCTTACACTTTTACCTGCCACTGCGACAGAGGATACACAGGATTAGTTTGTGATAAACGTAATTATTCGTATGGTGGTTTGATTATACTTTATTGGAAAAATTTATTTTCATTGCAAAAATTCCTTTGATGTCACATTACAAAGTTTCTAGACATTATATTCAAAAACAACTTTAAAAAGTAAAAGATGTATACTGACAAATTTCATGACTGTGATTTTTTTTCATTTTTATGTAATTAGGAAAACTTTGCAGTCAAGGAATAGTGTGCAAAAATGGTGGAACTTGTGTTGATGGGTCGATTGGATTTAAATGTCACTGTAGTGATAGATATACGGGAGAGTTTTGTGAAAGAGGTAAGATAAATATCCCGGTATTTAATCAGGCCTCTATGTACCTTTAAAATTTAGGCGCCAATGGTTCCTAATCAAAAAAATTTAGTCGCCATTGCAAATTTTTAGTCGCCAGGCAAATTTTTCTTAGGCGCCAATTTAAAAACTGATATTAGTTAATATATAGAGTATGCCCAATGCTAAATTTTAAACTTCTTTTCTGTTTTTTATAAAAAAAAAAAAAAAAAGTTCAAAATGTTTATTGTTCAGTAATTTGACGATCAGCAAGTCAATTTAAAATGGTCGCCAATTTGGCCACTTATAGAAAAAAAAATAGGCGCGCCAATCATATTTTCTGGCGATATGGCGACTAAATTAGTCGCCAATTAGAATCCTGCAATGTTACATAATTTTTCCAAATGAGATTCAAGCTGCATTTAATCTTGAAGACACGACCCTAGAAAGAACCTATAATTATATTTCATATTAAAAAGTGAAGCTACATAAAGATCGAAAATTATTATGATTGTTACTAGTTACGTTTTTCTCATTTCTTTCATTTCATTGTTTACTTCATAGAAGAATTGATATTGCACTTATCATCCTAAAGTTGTTTTCTATGCGCAAATCAATGGAAAAGAGCATCTTGATCAATTCTTTCAATGAATGCTTATCAATTTTTGCAATTTGATTATTCTTAAAAACTCTCACATATATATATATATATATATATATATATATATATATATATATATATATATATATATAGAAAGCACAAAGAAATTCACTTTTATAAGGATACCCACTTCCGCCCCAGCCCGGGGTTGAACTCTCGACCTACGGAATCTGTCTCCTAGCAGTACAGGAACAGCGTGCTAAACCGCTCGTTATGTTAGTTTAAGAGTTGTTGTAAAATGTGCTTTATAGATAAAAATTAATTTCATTACAACGTGTATTGGTAACGATCCTCTAATAAAACTAATGTCCAATAACTGTATCTCACTTCCATTTTCAATGACAGTGTAGTGTAGGACAGCGCCGCGAGAACTCCATCGGCATCGAAAGCAAGTTTTTTTGACTTGCCTAGATAGCCGACGGTCTAGCGCGCTGTTCCTGTACTGCTAGGAGAGTTAAACCCCGGGCTGGGGCGGAAGTGGGTATCCTTATAAAAGTGAATTTCTTTGTGCTTTCTGTATTAATATTTCTTCACTTAGGGCAGTTATGTCAGTTTAAGAGTTGTTGTAAAATGTGCTTTATAAATAAAAATTAATTTCATTACAACGTGTATTGGTAACGGTCCTCTAATAAAACTAATGCCCAATAACTGTATCTCATAGTGTAGGACAGCGCCGCGAGAATTCCATCGGCATCGAAAGCAAGTTTTTTTTGACTTGCCTAGATAGCTGAGCGGTCTAGCGCGGTGTTCCTGTACTGTTAGGAAACAGATTCCGTAGGTCGAGAGTTCAACCCCGGGCTGGGGCGGAAGTGGGTATCCTTATAAAAGTGAATTTCTTTGTGCTTTCTGTATTTATATTTCTTCACTTAGGGCAGTTATGTTAGTTTAAGAGTTGTTGTAATATATATATATATATATATATATATATATATATATATATATATATATATATATATATATATATATATATATATATATATATATATATATAAATTTTTAATGTAAATTTTCTTGGGAAAAGAGATATCATCTGGTATATTTGACAATTTTCATTCTTTTCACCAGAAGTAAGTTGGTATTCATTTAATAAGTAAGATATATCAGAGAACCTGTCTGAATTACATCCATATGAAGCTATTATCCAACATCTGTGAGTTCTAGTTTATAAAATAAAACATATTTTTCATTCATTGTCATGTAAGCAGCATTTAGCAGTGCCCCGGCCTATCCTTATGGTCTTGACGATTGAGTATATAAAAAAATGAAAGTTAAACAATGATTATATAGGAAAAACGTGGGATTCAGAGATGGGAATTTTGGGAAATTTATCGTTATTTATTTGGATGATAATCTAGTAATTCATTGACCTTGAATCATGCACCTCTAGAAATACAGGACTCCCTAGTACCATTGAAAGTATCTTATGACTCATGTGGAGAATATTGTGGTTAATATCTCTTCTTTAAGTTAACATTGAATGTTTATTTATTGTATTGCTAAAAATCGCGTAAGTCTTCATAGAAAGACTTTTTAAAATGTTATGCTCCCGTAAGAGTTAAAGTACAAACAATTATCATTTAACTCTTGTGCTCTCACTAAGTTTTAATTCCTCATATGGGATGATTTACATTATGACTCCTGGGTCGAGGCCTCTGCTGGTTGACTGTTTGTCCCCGGGGGTCTTTACAGCCAAGTAGCCATGTGCTTCGGTACTAGCTTGAAAATACCTATATATATTTAATTGCTGTGGTAAAATTAAGAGATTTATTTCAAAATTAAGGATTATCTTCCTCATGCATAGCTCTGATCCTTCGACGTATTTGGCACCAGTCTTTGGCACCTTTTCTCAGCTCTTCAAAGTCTTTTTTGAATTAAATATAACGGATATCCAACGTTTCGGCATGAGCATTACTGTAAAGACACAATTTGTAGAAATGCGTATCTGGTGCATCAAAATTTGTACCGTATATGATTTATGAGGGGTTATCAAAATAATTCGTTGACTGATGCCATTAATTAATACAAAGTCGTCTGTTTATTATAAAATTTATAACGAACATAAAACAACAAAAGTTCAAGAAATGTTGAAAATTTTAGCTTGATACGTTGATAATTTGCCAATTTTATTATAAAATAAAAAAGACATTATATGATCACCCGGCGCTGTTGCTGTTTAGTTTCCAGAGGTTCGATAACGTCATTGTTTCTCAATGTCCGCTTCCTCTCACCCCATACATTTATCTTGATGAGATTCTGTCCTTTCTGACATATTTCATTTTGTCAAATAAAATCTGCAACATGACTATTTAGTCATGTTGCAGATTTTATTTGACAAAATGAAATATGTCAGAAAGGACAATTCCCTGAAGTTAAGTAAGAACTTAAACACGTCTTGTTTATATGACTTTACAACGTCATGAACAAGCAGTTTTCAATGCATATCATATTGTAAATGGATCTATACGTAAGGAAAGAATCTCACCTGATTATGCCAGCATATTTTGCTTGTTGGAGCTCTGTTCTACTACACGTGATCAACGTCACTTTTCGACGTGACTTACTTTTGACACCCTGACTACAAATCGAGATTAACTGTGCTTCTTTCCTCTCCCTCTGAATTTTTTGGCATTTAAAAACGAGGACTCTGAATGCAGTTTATTTCTCTGTAGCCCGTTTAAACACTGCCTAGGTCTAAACCGGTTTTTTTCAGGGGCGAAACTTTATAGAATGTTGGAAAAAGAAACCCTCCCCCATTTTGACGTCATTTTCAAGTCCTTAATTGTTCATACAAACCATATAAGATTTACGATAAAATTTCAAAGAACTTACAGAATGAGGTAAAAATTGCAAATTTTACGGAACAATTGTGTCATACCACATGACTGAATTAACGGGATTTTTGGATGACAAATGGTCATATCAAAAGAGTTTTTCACAGTTACACGCAGGTAGAATAAAAGTCATGTTCGAGGTTGCGCCGCCTGGACATACCATTGCTTACAAAAACATTAACAATTTATTAAAGATGAAACTTATGATTTATGACTTATTCTATAGATAGAAAAGATGCTAACTAAATGTGTTAAAATTCATTGATGTACCTAAAGCGGCTTTAATTTTATGGTGCTAGTCCACGAACTTTTTGATAACCCCTCGTACATGGTAATGTATTTTCTCAAACACTTTTTAGTTCTAATATCAGATTTGCACTTCATATAAAATTATAACTAAGAAAATTTGAGGAAAACAATTCTATAGGAAACGATGTGAATATCTGATGTTATTAATTTAGTGGTGACAACAGAGCAACCTTCGGAACTTCGTCTTCCAGAATGGTTTCCATATTTAGAATATGGATTGTTGTCGGTCGTGTCCCTTATAGGTCTTATGACATTGGGATGTATTTGTCTAAAGTGTTGTCGAGCATTTGGTGTTGGCGAAAAAAAGTTTGTGGATGACGACGATAATGATGAAGAAAGAAATTTTAGAAAAAGGAAAAACGTTCATTCTACTCCGAACCACCCAAAACCAGTGAATACAGGGATTGACTTTTGAGACCAACAGAATAACTTTATAATTTCTCTACATACCAGATACATATATGTCATTGTTTCTTTTTTTCAATTGTTTATTGTGAAACCTTTAAAGAATAATCACTTTAAACGACACAAATGAAGTGTTTAAGTATGTAATATTGGATTTGCAAGAATTTGATATCATAAACTATGATATATATATATATATATATATATATATATATATATATATATATATATATATATATATATATATATATATATATATATATATATATATATATATATATATCTTTAAAAAAATCCCCAGATCTGGAAAAATTCAAGGCATAATAAGAAACATCTAAAACCCAAGACTTCGTTTAATGAACAAAAGAAAAAAAAATTATTCTCAACTTTCCCTCCTGATTTCCTCTAATAAAACTAATGTTAAAAAGCTGCGTATCACTTCCATTCTCAATGACCAAGTAGTGCCGGGCGGCGCAGAGAAAATTCCATCGCCAACGTAAGAGTTAAATGTCTGCTAAAATTGGCTTTGATTTAGAAAAAAATTCAAATCAATAAAATAAAGTTTAGATTTAGACTTGAATGTTTTGTTTTGATTAAATAAACAAAGTCTTCTTAAATTGTTTTGCTTATATGCCTTGAAATTTCTTCAGATTTGGGTAACAAAAAATTTTAAAAAGAAAAAAGGCTACTTAAGGTTTTCAGTTATGTTAGATAAAAATGTTTTGTGCTTTGAATCCCCATCATTTTCAATTGCTGTTATATTGAATGTAGAGCTTGTGATTATCTTCAATATTTGTATTTAATGTTTATACTAAATCTCATTTCTTGTTTTGTTGAATGATTTGTTCTATGTGAAAAATAAATGGTTTGTATCATGTCTCTGTCTGAACGTAATCACTAGCACATTTTCTTTCTGTGATATAATAAAACATAGGAACTCTGTCAGGTCAATTTGTTTCATAAGTTATGAGGTATCATGGATTGTCGTTTGATCTTACCTTTAAGGTCTCATCGGATAGGAGAAGCTGAACAAACTAAAAGTTTCACTCTTCAGAAGTTGAAGTTGGTCGTCCGCCGGTCATGAAATGTGAATTTGGTTAGCTTCTCCTCTGAAATGCTTAAGTGATATCAACGTATATATATAGGAACCGAGGGGAGGGTCACGGCAACAGGCAGATACCCCCTCCTCCAATAATTTTGCCGATATATAGTATACTATTAAAAACATATCTATTTTATTTTATGCTTGTACCTCCTGCTTGTAAGGTACTTTTGTGTGGTAGTTACCCCTAGACTTAAAAATTTTGGTTTTGCCCCCCCCCTTCCAATTGAAATTGCTTCCTAAGGATCTGTTCTTTAAATAAAAAATTGCTTTATTTTTTGCGGGAATTGACGCTGTAGCTTTTGCAGATAAAAAATACATCCCTCGTAAACGGGTTTTTAGGTCATCTGAGTTACTCAGATGACCTATTGCTGTCTGCTTTTGTCGGTCATCCTGCAGTTGTGCTGTTGTACGGGTGTGCGTCGTGCGTTAACTTTTCACATTTTTTAACCTTTTCTCAGGAACCACTGGACCAATTTCAATCAAACTTGCCACAAATTTTCCTTGGGTAAAGTGAATTCAAGTTTTTACAAAATAAGGACAGTGCCATCATCCAAAAGGAGATAATCAAAAAGGTAAAAATAGATTGAAGTCATTTAAAAATTTTCTTCTCAAGAACCACCTGGTCAGAAGAGATGAAACTTACACGAAAGCTTCCTACTTAGTGTAGATTCAATTTTTTTTTCGAATCAATAATAGTGTTTGATAAAATGACATGAATATGCCGCTAAATGTCAAGTAACCGATAGAGTATAGATAATGAAAGTATCAACGAATTAAAACTTTTACAAATTTTCAAACAGATACATTTACTTATATCTAATTAAGATCTTCCACTTGTATCTCCTTGTCTGGGCGTTGTTGATCCCCAAGATGATTTTTTAGAGCAACAAAACTTATTCCTTTGGACATTTTCATGCTTTTTTTTTTTATTTTTATATCCCTTGAATAAATGAAATATGGAGATAACGAACAGTAATCAAACTCGAAAGTTCACTGAAATCCGGAGCAGAGCAAACACGGGTCTCACACATCAGAGGTCAGATCTGAAAACATCAGATCAGGCGGCTTGGAGGAGTAAGCATCCCCTGTCGACTGTTCTCAACCGGTGTGTGCTCCTTGATTTGATCGGGAAAAACGGACAAATCCGTAGACATTTCAGTGTGTTAATTATGACCTAACAATTTGTACAAACAAGAGGTCCATGGGCCACATCGCTCACCTGAGCACAATAGCTAGCAAAAAGCACAAATCAATTCAGTATTGAAAAGTTTACATGGGGGGGGGGGGGGGGGTAATTTTAAACTACCTGAGGACGCTTCCATATCAATATAACAAATGGCTTTGCTGTTCTTGAGCAGAAGATTTTTAAAGATTTTTTTCCTATATATTCCTTTGTAAAAATTTGATACCCCATTGTGGCCCCTCCGCACCCCCAAGGGTAATCATTTGAACAAAATTTAATCTACACTACCTGAAGATGCTTCCATATCAATATGACTAAACATGGCTTTGCTGTTCTTGAGACAAAGATTTTTCCTGTATATTTCTATGAAAAACTTTGATCCCTCATTTTGACCCCACCCTACCCCCAGGGGTCATGATTCGTACAAATTTGAATTTACCCTATATAACAAAGGTTTCCTTAAGTTTCAACTTTTCTGGGCCAGTGGTTCCTGAGAAGAAGATTTTTTAAAATATGCCACCAAATTTTCACTATTTCTGAAGTATCTCCCCTTGAATGAGGGCGTGGCCCTTCATTTGAACAAACTTGAATCCCCTTCAACTAAGGATGCTTTGTGGCAAGTTTGGTTAAAATTGGCCCAGTGGTTCTGGAGAAGAAGTCGAAAATGTGAAAAGTTTACATACAGACAGACAGACGGACTACAGACAAAATGTGATCAGAAAAGCTCACTTGAGCTTTCAGCTCAGGTGAGCTAAAAACGTCAGTCAGCATTCGACTTAATGATAGATTTGTTTATGCTGACAAAGTTATTGTATCGACCATAGAACTTGGGAAATGTTGACTTTAAACGAAATTGTTGATATTTTTGCCTCATCAACTTGTTTGTCAATAGTTTGCCTCGTTTTAAGAAATTGTTCATACGTCGAGCATACTCTTGCGTATCGAATCAACTGGGAGACATAAACTCCATATACAGCTGATAAAGGTATATTGCTACATAAATAAGGGAAGTTGACGATAGAAAAGTTGAAGTCATCACGTTTATCATAAAGCTTTGTTGTTAGGGTACTAGTCAAGACCTGCATAAAGTTTTGTTGTTTCGTTACCAGTAATGTCTTTTTTCTAATGTAGATGTAAAATATCCAAATATAAAACAGATGTGTCAGACTCTGTGGTATCTTTTATTTCAAGCTCACTGGGATATATCGAGTCGACATATGAATGGAAATAACTATTGTTAATTGACAATACATCGTCGATATATCTAAATGTAAAGTTGAAGGCCACAACAAGTGTTTTCTTCTTTTCATGTATAAGTTTATGAACAAATTCTGCTTTATATGAATACAAAAAATAGGTCTGCTAATAATGGGGCGCATTAAGTCCCATGGGAATTCCGGCAGATTGTTTGAAGACTTCATCTCCAAAAACTACATAGATATTGTCAATCAGGAACTCAAGCATCTTTTTAATGTCATATGCGGAGTACTTGTATATACAATCAGAATGATTTTTTTAACAAAATAATTTTGCAAATGGCCAATGATAAGGTAAGTAAATTTACGAGTTCCATTTTTATTGAAAAAGCAGCTGTATATGATTTCATATATATGATGCCTGTACTTTACTTTATCTTTGGGAATAGTTGTATAAAGTGTTGAAAAGTTTCGATGTTACTGTTTTTGGTCAAATTTTGTAATTTCAAATTTTTTAACAGTTCTTTGGCGTTTTAGTTACATTGTTATTGCATGGTACAGCTGTAAAATGAATATTTCAATGTCCACTTAAAAAGCATTTAATGACATGTCTTTCTTTTCTTATACTTTCAAGTTGGATGATTTATTTTACATGGCGTGATTGGCCTGCATTCAAAATCATTGCTTCTAGTAACTAATTGTTGTTTTCAATGGCAAAATCAATAGATAAGTATTGTCTTTACATATAAATTGAAGGACTTGCCTGTGATATATTATACAGCTAAACGCAGGTTAAGTAACATCATGTGCAAACCTTAATTTAAAATATGATTTTAAAAGTAGTATATATATTACTGTATATTTGTGCTTTTTGTACCGATACGAGTCGATCACAATGTACACCGGACATGGAATGTCATATTTTTAACTGGCTATCATGGAGTCCATGCAATGGTACTTGTAGCTCACAGTCGCAGTACAGAGTACGTAGAATGTGCTGTTCATTAAACCCGGCCACTCTAGAAACTTGTCTGACAAGCTGTAATAGAAGTATACATTTTCCAATGGACATGTCTCAACCATGCCGAATTTGTGAAAATGGTGGCATGCTAGAACCTGCTTCTCTAACATGTAGATGTGATCCATATTATAAAGGTGATTGCTGCCAAGGTAAGGGTTGACAATTGTATTTTTCTGTTTCTAGTTATTTTTCTTCCTTTTTTGGGTATTCAATGCTTGCAATCGAAATATCAATGGATTATATATTTGGTACAACCACGACTTCCCTTGTCACATGTTTGATACAACAAATAAACCACAGATCACTTTGGGTACTTTGCTGGTTCCATACAGAAGATAAAAGTCCCGAATATATTAGAAAATCCAGTAAAAAGTTCTCCGTTTCCTGGATTAGATTGTACGTGTACTTTTAATTGTGAATCAAAATAAATTAATTTCAGTGTTATTCTGCTGTATAAGACGTTTTGAAATTATGATATGCAAAATTAAAAAAAAAATTTTTTTTTTAAAAAGTAGTTATACGCAGAGCCTGGACATAAACACTACAAATTCTATATTCTTCATTTATATAACTGTATTTGATCACGACAAAGAGCAAAGTACGAGAATTTTTGCTCCAATAATGGCGTTTGAATTTACTTGTAACAACAAAATCAGTATATTCCTGTAAAAAAAGATTTTAAAAAACCCCTAACCTGGTTAGAAGCAAACATTTTGAAGGAATATACTTCTTTGATATTAAAAAAACTATTTATTTAAAAAATTGACTATTCATAAGGAGTAATTCTCTAGTCCATAACCGATATTAGTTTTTTCATCTGTCTTTTACAATTATTGTAGATATGGTAACGTGTCATGATCGTCCATGTAAACATGGTACCTGTACCAACATTGGGGTAACCTTTACCTGCAACTGTGACACGGGATACAAAGGAGTAGTCTGTGATACACGTAATTATCTTTACAGTGATTTAATCTTATGGTATGATCAAGTATTCTTTTTTCATATCATGTAGTTTCGAAATACGAAATCAAAAAGCAATATCAGAAATAAAAAGGTATCGATGACTTACCTCAACTTTCCTCACAATATGAGGATCAGACAACGAGGATTGTTTAAAACAATGGAAATTGTATGGAAAGCGGCTCAATTAAATGCTACTGTAGCAATGTGGTTATGTACCTATGCAGACGTTTTAAAAATAAATTCTGGAGATAAAACAACATAAAATAATCTGATCATCACAAAAAATTGAGATAATCCATTGAAAAATCAATTAAGCACATGAACAATTAGATTGATTATTTTACATAGCAGAGACGAAGAACTCGCCGTTCCAAATGAAATGATATTGTTTTTGTGATTGTTGTTTTTTTTTTTCTTGAAATTTCAAATTCATTTCCAAGATCATATATATATATATATATATATATATATATATATATATATATATATATATATATATATATATATATATATATATATATATATATATATATATATATATATATATATATATACTACCAAGGTGCCAGGCATGGAACCTTACTAAGCTCCACTTCAAGTAAATCAAGTAAAACATTATAAATACAGTATAAGTTTTCTATTACATCAATCTCGCAGAATGTTTAGACAATATGTCATAATACTAAGTAATAAGATAATGCTTGTTGTGAAAATAAATTCCCAAATACCAAAAAAAGGAAATTCATCGCTCATGGTATTAATACAATTATACAACAGAATAATACAGTAATACAGAAGGCAATAGATATTCTTAAATTCTAGTTGGGAGGTAAAACTATCACGGCTTCAGAGTCTCCAATTTACTATCTACATTTTGTTTAATAATTAAAAAAAATAGTTTGTATTTCCTACCACAAAAAAAACCTTTTCGTTGACTGATTAATTTTAATTTTTTAACTTGCAGTATAGTTTCATACGAGAAAAAATTAAATAAAGGAAAATATCTTTTGGTACATGCTTTTTGGATGTATTTTACCAATGATTTCAATCAATTGATTTGATAAGAATAACAAGTGAAAATTAAATATTTTTCTTGTTATTACATACTTTTAAAATATCTTACTATAATTGCTTTCAGAGGAAACATTAGAACTTCCAGAATCCTTTCGGTATCTAGAGTACGGCCTGCTATCGATGGTGTCCGTGATTGGACTAATGACAATGGGTTGTGTTTGTCTGAAGTGTTGTCAAACCTTTGGCATCAACAAGAAAAGTGGCATTGACGATAATGATGAAAATGAAGAAGAAAACTGGGGAAAGAACAGGAAGAATTTGATTTTTCCACAGAAACGCTCAAAATCAAAGAGCATGTGGATGGACTTTTGAAACCAAAAGAATAAAATTTTAATTTCTTAACTGTAAGCTGTGAATTAATTCATTTTATTTACCGTAAATCTTTTGATGAGACAATTAACTAACTTTAAACGCTTCAGTGATGAAATAATTCCTTTTGTACATTTTATTTTATTTACAAGAATTCTAACTGATCATCATTCATTGAAATTTGAAATAAAGTATATAGTTATGCAATGTTAAGATGTTAATTATGCTAAGATAACAAATGCATAAAAAGCAAAGAAAATTATGTTCTATGTAATATTAGAGTCAAATCAAGGAAAAATTTTGAATAATTCACAGATCAATGTAAAAGAAGAAGCTTTACGAATAGATGTTTTCAAAATTATCTCAAAATAGACAGGAGTGGCCTTTAATTTAACATAGAAGCTTATGGGCTTTGTATCATTTTCAAAAATTATCATTGGATCGTATTTTGACCGACATGTTTCCCATCAATTATTCGGCCACTGATTTCATTTTGTCTACGGATTATTACGTTTGCCTGATCAATAAAGAGGATTCACTGCGGGTGTCACAAGGGATGCTTACTCCTCCTAGGCACCTGATCCCACCTCTGTGTTACCAGGGGTCCGTGTATTTGTTCTGTTCACACTTTATACAAACATTTATCACATAAATGAAAGATCAGGCTATTTGATATCATAGAAAAATCTTCTTTAATAAAAATAGAATTCGGAAATTTTCATATTTTGTGAATGGTCATTTTCAAAATTACTGTCTTAAAAATAATTCTGATTCTACACACAAACACTTTTAAGTTGATATATGAAAGATGCCGGAATTCCCCTTTGCCAACATTTATGTATTCATTGGTTACCAGATCTCCCAGCACACTAGTGAAATCCAATTTCCATTTATTCTGATTCTTTATAAGCTTCATATGTTTTGAAATTCATATGAAGTAGCATTTATTTTTAAAAAAATAAATCATACGAGATGTTGCTTGCTATACCTTTCAGTTCAATATTTAGATGACGTCATTTTATCGATTAGAAATATTAATTTTCATTCATATGTCGATATATGTTGCATATATCCTTCTAAGACAACACAAAATCTACTCATTTAAATGTTTTCCTATTATAAAGTTAATTGCTCACAAACAAATAATCCATTTGACAAATGGCAGGATGAATTCATAGTTAACTCCTCCCATCTATATAGCAATTTTCTTCTTCTAAAATCTGTGAATAGTGTTCTTATCTCCCAACTGATTCTATAATCAAAATCATGATCTGTGTACCACTAATTTTTAAATCGAGGCAGTCTACTGAAAATAACTTACAAGGCTTTCAATACTCTCGTTTTTAGCTATCGTTAAGGAATCATTTTGCTCGCTTAAATGACTTTGTCGGCAAATAGAACAGGCCGTTAATCATATCAGCTGTTAAGCCATTGTTTTAATACTAATTCTAACTAAGGATTACTCTCTTTATCTGATCAATGTAAAGGTCTCTCGTCGGATTCTTACTTGTACTAGACACCTGATCCCACGTCTGATGCTTCCAGGGATGTAGTTTTTTTTACCCTGTTCACGAATCTTATTTTTATAGGATTTACGAAATTCCTCACCGAAATTATCTTCACCTTTTTACACAAATGGTGAAAGAAAAATTCAATGCACTTAATGAACTCGAAATAAAAGACACCACAGAGTCTGACACATCTGTTTCATATTTGGATATTTTACTATAGAAAGACAGTAATGGCAAACTAACAACAAAATTAATGGTAAACTTCAGCTATTCTATCATCAATTTCACTTATTTATGTAGCAATATACCTTCATCACCGGCATATGGAGTATAGTCTCCTAGTTGATTCAATACACAAGAGCATGTTATACATACGAACATTTTCCAAAACGAAGGAAGCTATTGACAAGTTAGTTGATGATACAAGGAAATAAACAGATTCGTTTAAGTCAACATTTCGCAAATTCTATCCAGTTGGTCAATACAATTTATAGTTAAGTCGAATGTTGACCGACAAGGAGCACACGGTGTGACCTGTCGACAGGGAATGTTTACTCCTCCATAGTACCTGATCCCACCTCTGATGTTTTTTGAGGTTTGTGTTTGCTCTGCTCCAATTGTTCCAATGTAATTTTTACCAGGATTACTGTTCTTATCTTCAAATTTCATGAAACAAAATTTTTATTAATTTCATAAATTTAATTTTTTTTTTTGCATAATTTGAATGTATGAACTCCCTTCACAATCAGTACATGTAGAGTATTCTGGTGTTTGTCAGATTTCAACATTCACGTACATTCTGTGTGTCGAATCGCTTTATAGAAATCTCCTAATCTGTTAGTTTTGGAACGATTGATAAATTGTTTAACCTGTAGCGTTTTTATCGATAATTTTTCACTCATATTGAGAAGTCACTAGATGTAGGTGTAGTTTAGATATAGATCCTTTAAAGATCGAAGCCAGTGCACCAGGGTTCCTTAATCTGGCTCACTGGTTCCACAGTTCACACGACCTTCTCCGAAAAGACAGTGAATTTAAATTCCTTGGAATTCTAAACACCTACCAAAAAAACAATCTTTACTATATGTTATGTTTCAAGTCTGCCCTATTTAACCAAAATGAGAGCAAGTGAACACAAAGTAGAAAACGTCACTACCGGAGCGGACCTTAGCCGCCGCCTAACGGATCATTTGTTTGGGAAACATTTCCATAAAAATTATGTATCATTTAGAATTAAGTGATATTTTAAATTAACCTTGTTAGAGACAAAAAATGATTTCAATAAATGTACTGTTTTAAGTAGAAATCAAAATCTCTTGTTCAAGACCGGGCGGATTTCTATATATGTACATGAAAACATCACTACTTACATGCATGGTGGATTCTTCGTTTGAATCATAGCTCCAGGGACATGAGTTAAAAAACATTTAAGGACAAATGTTTTACAAAGAAAAAAAATACAGAAAACATCCATTTCATAATCAGGTAGACCACAGGTAAATTAAATTAATATGGAAGCATTTTTCATGATTCAATTTTATTTAAGGCATTGCCAGTGGGGTTAAGGTAGGGCCACATGCAAGTGGTCAAAAGCTGACAAAGATTGAAAAAAAGGATGTTTACGAAGAAATCCCTTAAAAAGGTCTTAAAAGCACGAATGTCTTAGTCATAATAAGCAAATAAAAGACAAAAATCCGCTTTTAATGTATATTCAAAGTGAGGTCAAATCATATGGAAATCATAGAAAAGCTAGGTTAAACTATTAATATAAAGGCATCTCACTGTAGTGTAGATTCGATAAAGTTGAAATCTTGAGGATGATCTGTATGTGTATAAAATGGCACTATCATCAGCATATAAAATTAAGTTGTGCAGTCTTCATTAACACTAATATACATATCATTTACATGAATCAAACTGTAAAAAGGAAACATATAATCTCATTTAAATCATTCCTCTTGTTAACCTAATTCTGATAAAGGAAAAGCGTAGCCGTTTAGACATGTCGAATCATGACGTCAATTTGATCTGATAAATTGTAGAATACATGTTGATCAGTGACCTTTTACATTTACTTAAACTACTTATCGATTCCATAATTTTTTTGGTAAAAAAAAAGAACGACTCTAAGTGACACTCACTTGTAAAATCAGAAAACGAACGATGCCTTTAACAACACTGCTGTTTAGCATCTTTTTTCATTACTCGGATGGCTTCGCTTGTGATGGCACTACAAACTGTTTAATTTTATCATGGGAACCATGGACTGATTGCTCTGGAGTTTGTGGACTTCAACAACAAAATCGAACCCGTTATATATGCTGTCCAATGGAAGTAAACTCGAAAACCGAGGAAAATTGTCTTGCGGCATGTAACTATTCCAGGACATATCCGTTGCATGAAAAGCGACCGTGTTGTGAACATGGTCAATACAGTCTTGGAAAGTGTAGTTGTTACCAAGGATTTAAGGGACCCTGTTGCCAAGGTTATTCAAATTTTTACAAGTAATAAAAGTCATTTATATAGTTTCAAATTTTTACGGGAGGTTAACATATAAAAATGTCAAAACATAAAATGTAGCCATTCTCGCAAGATGCCAAGATTAAGTGACTATTTCTAAACATGCTATGCTAAATAAGGGCTGTCCAAATAGTTCGAGGACAGTGGTGTCTTTGTCATTCTCGATGGCCTAGTATATATAGCTAAATTATATTATATGCCAAAATGTTTGTTATAAAAATTTATGTCAAACTAATTAGGGTTGATTGCAAAAATGTTATGTAAAAATCGTCGTCTTATAGGTAGTGTGCACTGTCCAGGCTTTAAATGTTGTAACTTCGAAATAACGGACTTAAATATTTATATTTTTCATAAAACAATTCAAATCTAAATAAAATTTAAAAAATGTGAAGTACCTAAAATTACTGGTGCCATTTTCTAATATCGTTTCTAAAATTTACTAGAGGATAGAGGAAGTATCAAGAAAAACACGGGAGTAAAAATATATATATCTCTGAAAACGCCCGAAAAAGCGACGTCGTCTATCCGAACGGCCAAGCGTCTTGACAGTATTTGTTAATCTGGTGGAAATACTGTTATAGATACCAATAAAATAATTGAATCAGCAGGGAATAAAAGCAATGTTTCAAGTCCCAGTGTCCATTGATATACAAATGACATAAACGGTTTCCAGACGATACATTTGTATAAATGACTTGGGAGACTTTTCAAGGAGTGGAAGATTGCTGATACAGGCACGTATTATCGCTTTTGAAAGTCAGAGGTGGGGGAGCAGTCAGAAGATTAATTGATAATTTACATAAAGATGTCTGACAAATAAAAAAAATTCATTTAATTTAATTACAGTTTAAAACATAACAAATAACCCATTACCACAAACTCCCCCATTGAAAAACATAATTAAAATATTGCTTGCATTTCATTTCTTCATTATATCATTATAACTTTTTCATACTTCGTGCCTGAAGTTGCCATCAAGTTTTGTAGCATAAAGACGTTCTCCTTCCTGTCAGGATCTAAACTTTGGCATTAGTCTGACAAATGTGTTGGTTTCCTCCGTTCTCTTGCACTTACCCTCAAAGTGATTTGTTCTTCATGTGATTTATCATCATCTACATCATCATCAACTTCATCAGCATTATGTTGTATCACATGATCATCTGCTTTTGTTGCTGTGACCGATGGAGCATGAGAATCAGTCTGATACTTCCACCTAAGGTCTGAACTGCTCAGTAGATATATGTCCAATGGCAACTCATCTACCTCTTCTGTACTTCTTTCTTGATTACAAATATTGGTATCAACATTTTAGGAAGTTTAACCAGCCATGTCACCCGCGTGACACAGTGGTTAGAGCCTTTGCTCTAGAGTCGAGGCGTAAGGTGTTGATCCTTAACGTCGCAGGTTCAAATCCACTGTGTGACGTGGAGACCGGTCCTTCGGATGAGAACGTATAAATCGAGGCCCCGTGTCGCAGTAGGTGCTGGCACGAAAAAAATTCCTCATTGCTCAAAGGCCGTAAGTGTCGAGCACAGGTCTAAATTTGTAGCCCTCCACCGCCAAATGTGGCATCTCAATGTAAGTGAAAAGTTCTCGAAGGGACAATAAACAACAAAATGAACGAAACTTTGATTACATGCAACGTCGGTCAATAATTTTAAACTACAATAAATAAGTCTAAAATTCATAATTGCATCGTTTGTAAGTTTGTTTCTGGCTTATTTTACCATTGACAGCAATGTTTTTTTCAATGTTATGCCATAAAAGCACTCTAGTCCAAACGAACGCAATATCACAACACTGTAACTGTCACCTTGAACAGTAATGTTCACATAGGAAACATCCGGTAGCTTCCGGTTTATGGTGGTGATGTCATGATTGGCGGGAATTTCTAATGTCCGTTCTCAGAAAACCACGTTGAGTGCCAAATTTTGTTACTGGGTTTCCCCATTAAAAGAAGAAAATTCAGTTCCTTCTTTATGGTTTCTTTGATTGTAATATGTAAAAGTCATATAGACAGATTAACCATAGTAATGGATTTAGGCTGTACTCCAGATTCTAATTACAGCTAATTCATAACTTTGTCTAAACCATATCTAGACTCTGGGTTCAGGTCTACTCCAGTAAAAATATATTTATCTATCAAACAAGATTTTGTTTAGCTTCCACTATCCAAGTTCCAAACTCTCTAACTTATAGCTGGATTCAGAGTGCCCTTTTTAAAGAGAGAATATAGGTTATTTTGGATGTACGTCGACTTCATTGGTAGGTCACATAGGTCAAATTCCTTATCGAATATTACTGACCTCTAAACTAAATTCATACTAATGAATAAGCTAAAGAGTTCTAATAGGAAAGGATAGCTCTAAATCTAAAATAAGTAGTACCTATTGCGGTGAGTTAGTAGAAATAATGTCCAAAACTGACTTAAATTACTATTCATTTATTTATGGCAATGTATTTATTAATTTATTTTATATTTAATTTATTTACTGTTTAAAACAAAAACAAATAGCCCATTACTACATAAAAATTGGGTGAGAAATTTACTATTTCATTTGTTCCCGGTCTTGAACTTGGAACCATCAGAAAACGGCTTTTATAGTGAGTAAATTTTTCTAAACATAAATAACTATCGGTAAAATGGAAAGTGTCCATTATCGGATGGTGACCAATTTTCTCCTATAAAATATCTGAATTAATTTTTAGAACCTCATGGTCACAAATTATAGGTGCTGGGTTATATGCCACTAGAAAAGGCATTTTCTAAGAAAGTATATCATTTGTGTTTATATAAACGGAACAAAATGTCAACACTAGATTTCGAACTTGAATATGAACAACACTAGATGAATAATGAAAAAAATGAACTCATTTGAATTTTTTTCGAGCTCCGATACAAATCTTTTTTACTCTTACCGAACCTTTCTTTGAAAAAGATACTCTTATTATTTGGTTTGTTATTAACCATTTACGTCATGTGTAACCACAAGCCCGACCAATAAATAGAAACATTTGTCAAAGATTTATATAGGAGAAAGATATCACAAAACCTTGACATTGTAAAGAAGTTAAAACATTAAAGGAAAACACTTTTGTATTCATTCATGTTGTCATTCCGAAAATTTATTACCTAAACTTTTACCGTCTTCATTTTTCTATCATTGTAGATATGTTGGCGTGTCAGGATAATTCATGTAGTAATACTAACGCTTGAAACATTGGTTTATACTATTATTGTTATCAAATCCTTATTTTTATTATAGATGTGGTGACGTGTGGAGATGATCCCTGTAAACACGGAACCTGCACTGATACCGGAGTCTCATTTACCTGTAACTGTGACATAGGTTACACAGGAGTTGTCTGTGATACACGTAATTATTACATAGAAGTTTGTAAATTGATACGAATGTGAAGATATAGATATAAAACAATATCCATCCTCAAAGTTCAATTAAACAACACAAATTGGGAAAACGTGGATCTCTGAGAACATCAGAGGTGACATCAAGAGCCATATTTCGCTTGACATATATTTAACGATTTCAAGCAAAAGCAAATCAAACAAAAAGGTGTTACTTTTACGTATCTCGACTAAATATTACTTAATCTTGAACTAATGAATGATTCCCCGTTTTTCATTACAAGCATCTGCTTATTGTTATTGTTGTACTAATACTTTAAACGAGGTTCGCTCCTGAGCTTTTGAGCAGAATTTTGTCTTAACCTATATTTCAAAAATTCTGCATATTGTTATAGTTCTTACAATAAATTTGGATTCTACAAAACCAATTAAACTATATACTTACCTTGTCATTGGTCATTTGAAAATTATTTTGTTAAAAACATTGTGATTGTACACACATGTACTCTGAAGTTGACATTAAAAAGATGCTTGAGTTTCTGATTGACAATATCTATGTGGTTTTTGGAGACCAGGTCTTCCAACAATCTATTGGAATTCCCATGGGTACCAATTGCGCCCCGTTATTAGCAGACCTTTTTTGTATTCATATGAAACAGAATTTGTCCAAAATCTTGTACGTGATAAGAAGAAAACACTTGCTGTGGCCTTCAACTCGACATTTAGATATATCGACGATGTATTGTCAATTAACAATGGCTATTTTCATTCTTATGTCGATACGATATATCCCGGTGAGCTTGAGATAAAAGATACCACAGAGTCTGACATATCTGTTTCATATTTGGATATTTTACTTGAAAAAGACGTTAATGGTAATCTAACAACCAAGCTTTATGATAAACGTGATGACTTTAACTTTTCAATCGTCAACTTCCCTTACTTATGCAGCAATATACCTTCATCACCTGCATACGGGGTATATATCTCTCAGTTGATTCGATACGCAAGAGCATGCTCTACGTATGAACAATTTCTAAAACGAGGTAAATTATTGACAAACAAGTTGATGAAACAAGAATATCAGCTGTCTCGTTTAAAGTCACCATTTCGTAAGTTCTATGGTCGGTACAATGACCTTGTCAGCAAATACAATTTATCATTGAGTCAAATGCTGACTGACGTTTTTCATACTAATTGTTAGGCCATTATTTACACACTGAATTGTCGACGGATTTTTCCGTTATTTCCCGATCATGACAAGGAGCACACGGCGGGTGTGACCGGTCGGCAGGGGATGCTCACTCCTCCATGGCACCTGATCCCACCTCTGATGTTTAGAGGTCCGTGTTTGCTCTGCACCTATTTTGTATTGTTTAATGGACTTTTGAGCTTGAATACTGTTCGTTATCTCCATATATTTCATTCAGTAAAAACACTCCATGATTAAATTCCATACCAAAAGCATTACGTGAGGAACTATATTTTGTGGCGGAAAGTTTTTTTTAGAAGAAAATGATCATTTCTCTCTTTCAAATATTTAAAGTATGTGAAGTCTGGATTCCTTTTTTTACATGAAGGGTCTTACTTAACTGATATCTACCCGTATTGCTGATGTACTGACGCATGCGATACAAATGTTGACATCATAGAAGTAACTAGGTTCTTACTTAGCTGATATTTTCTGATATTGCTGATATAATTTTCCTCTTAGCTTCTTCATATGATCTGGCAATAGGTATCAATATATCTGTTGTGATATCTTTAGCCACTGATATGTTTTAATACACAAGAATCATTTTTGGGGTTAAAAAGTTAACATCCTCCAAGTATTTAGAGACCTTATATCTATTGATACAGCTAATAAGAATAAGCTAACATTTGTATCGCAAACTTGCATTATATTACACAAAAAAGTACTAGTATTTGAGTATATCTCTACAGATATCTTGGTAACTTCATTGCCAGATCATGTGGAGAAGCTAAGAGGAAGTTTACATCAGCAATACAGGTAGATATCACCAAAGTAAGAACCCAATTACTTCATGAAATCGTCAGTCATATATTATGTGGAGAACCTTGAAGAAAATTCTTATTAGCTGTATCAGTAGATATCAAGTCTTTAAATAACCAGCTATTTGGAGAATGTTAACTTTTTACCCAAAATGCATACAAAACAATAAAATTAAACTTTAAATATTAATTTAAAGTAGCATATTTTAACATCAGATATTTTGACTAGCGAAACAAAAATAAGAGACTGTTATGCAAACTTTTTTTTAAAAAATGCATCCAATACATGATTTTTTTCTTTAAATTAATATTTGCAATGTAGCCAGTTACTAGCAGCTACGTACCTTTACTCACATTTAAAGTCATTTCCTAGTAGCTAGCTTTACTCACATGTCGTCGCCAGTTACTAGTAGCTAGCTTTATTCACATTTTAAGTTGGTTACTAGGAGCTAACTTTACATATCTGTTACCGATTCCATTTATGTATGAAAGATATGCTTTGGTTTCATCAGACAAGAAATTTGAGACGTTTCCTATTAAAATTATCTTTTAGAATAGAAATTTAAATCTCAAATTTTATTACAATGATACGTTAATCAATGTTTTAAATCAAAACGATGTTTGGTAAATTGAAAAAATAATACATTCTCTAATGTTGTTCAAAGTAATAGCTTTTTATTTAATTTCAAAGCCTTAACGTGCAACGACATCCCCTGTTTAAATGATGGTACATGTACCGATGCCGGGAGTGATTTTCAATGCACATGTCCATACACACACAAAGGAAACTTCTGCCAGACAGGTATTTTTTTCCAATTTGTCCATAGATTGCAGAAATTTGATGGTATTATGGAGTTACTCGTTTATTTAGTGTAAAAGATGTGGACATTTTATGAACTACTACAATAAGCCCACGGGCCTTAACGGTCACCTGAGTATAATACAACACTGCAAAGGTTCCGTAGAATGGCAATTTCTCAACCACATGTACATAATAGTATATAATAGAACAAGATAAATTGATAGATGAAAATATGCTGCCCAAAGCAAGAGGAACATGACATTCAGGGATCAACAAAATAGTACTGGTACTCTGCAAAACAACTCGTAAAGCAGATCTATTTTCATGTACATGCCTGTGTCTGCCAGTGCAATCTACACTCTCATTTGTTCCTATCACAAAACTAAAGAACACAATAGTGCTCGAGCATATAAAACAATTTACACAATTTAACTTAGCAACTAATAACGGCCTCTCTTGGTCTTTGAATAACATTTATCGTTCAAATATTAGGTATTTTTACAATGTCCATTGAATGTCCATCTGTCCATTAAAACTATAAAGGTAATTTTTGTGGTAAATATTAAAGATTCTTCTATATTCTTTTATTCAAATGACCTATCAATTTGATTATTTACAGTGATTAATTATCACAGTTGTATAACAAAGGGAAATAACTTCTCTTAAAGTAGAAAAAAAATCCAACAAGATCAATAGAGTCCTGTCCAGTGATTAGGAATTTCACAAATCTGTTTAAAACACGATACTCATAACAACTTTGAATTCTGTTTGCCTCCTAGATGCCCAAGAGCAGAGACTTTTTTCAAAACATGCATTTTCACTAGTTAATGAATAGAGCCCGATCCTAACACCAGAACTCCTGACCCAGGCATAAATTCCAAAATTTTTGAAGAAGTACCCTTGCTCATCTGTCATTATTGAAACTTTTTGCATCTATATATTGATTCATAAAACGTGTCGATATATTGATAAGTCTATAACCATTTTACAAATTTGTTCATAATAAAGAAATACAGACTTATTTAATTGATATTAAGGTTTTTTTCAAGTAAACTTTCTGAAAATGAACAAAACAAAAATTCACAAGAAACAGTGTTTATTTGAACAACTTTAACAATAAAATAAATCATGTGACATGATGAAAGTAAAAAAAAATAGGAAAAGGAATAAGACTCATTTGACTTTCATATTGATTGAATAAAAACAACGGACCCATATGCCATAAGTAAATGAAAAACTAGACAAAAACAAGCGAAAAGTCCTCAAACATCATGTTTAAACAATGACAAATGTATCGATACTCAAAGTTACATCGATATTTTAATTTTTCAAAGATAGCTCTAATCAGTACCATGTACTTAGTTTGTTGGCTAAAAACCCAGAGCAGAGAAGATTTACAAAGAATTGCTGCATTTTCACTTTATAATCAAAAGAGTCCCTCCCTTACACCAGAGCCCCCAATTCAGGGGACGTGATTCACAATTTTGAAAGAGGTATCCTTGCTTAACAAAATCATGAACTTTGAGTGCAAAATAACCAGTAGCAGCAGAGACGATTTTCAAAAATTAATGTATTTTCATCATATGATCAATAGAGCCCCGTTCTAACACCAGGGCCATCAATTTCACAATTTTTAAGAGGCACCGGTACCCTTGCTTATCACAATCATGCACTTAATTTGTCTATTTAATTCAGGGGAGCAGAAGAAGATTTTCAAAGAATTAATGCATTTTAAATTTACGGTCAATAGAGCCCCATCCTAACACACGAACCCCTGACCCTGAGGCCATGAATTTCACAATCTTGATAGAGGGCTTTATGCCTATTATAATCATACTAACATATTTAAATTTGATGTAAAGGAGTAAAGAAGCTTTTTGAGGATTGCATTAAAGTTGATGGGTGGAGACCACGAAATTTAGAAATTTTGTACCCCTTTGCCCATAAATGCTATATACCAAAATAGGTCAAAAAATTATTTAGAAGAAGTAAAAAAAATAATTAAATGTTAACTATGGACAACGTACGACGGCAGACCAAAACAGGTGACCTAAAAATGTACTTTGCTAAACACCTGGAGAAATTTATGTAAGTAATCGTGTCAAAAACGTGCTCAAAAATCATCAAAATTGATGAAAAGGATTTATACTAAATTAATTATCGTATTTTGTATTTTAAAAATAGTTACTGTACATTTTTGTATTTTCTCTTTTTTAAAGATTTTATAATTTTGCTATAATAGATACAGCATAGATAGTACGTATGTATTTCTTTTTTTGTATTTTAAAAGCTTTAACCTGCACTGATAACCCTTGTCTACATGATGGAAAATGTATCGACCCCGGAACTGGATTTCAATGTACATGTCCTAACACACACAAAGGAAACGTGTGTGAAATAGGTATTGAAAAGTTTATTTAAATGAATTCACTTGGGATAACAAAACGAAATAAAACTACGTGAAGAAACTTTGCTATTGCAAGCCATAATATATATCATCCCGAAATGACCTTCCTCCGTTTCAATGGGAGCAAGTGTCATTCTGAATGATGGATGCATCTTCATTATCATTTATTTATTATTCACGCTTTAAGCAATTTTCCTATACTGTACATAAAAAAGATACAAGATTCTGAGGGCTGCGAAGATGACATCCTTTTCGGTTGTTTGTAAATCTTGAATCCTTGCGAAGTTTATTTTAGAAATGCAGAAATAGTCTATCGTTTGTGTTAAATGCGTTTGAAAATAAAACACGCAAATACAGAGAATTGTGGTCCCTCGCTTTCAGTGATAGGGATGTATTTATTTATGACATATTGTAACTGTTTTGTTTGTGTGTCCTTCAAACATCTAAGTCAAGGTCATGAAGTCAAAATGATATACATGTACCCGTCTGAAAGGTGTTATCATAGACAATGGATATGTAAAATATGAAAGCCCTATCTTCTCTCATTCAAAAGTCATTACCAATGTCCAAAAAAAAAAAAAGAAAGAAAAACTTTAAGGTTAAGGTCTCGAGGTCAAAAACCAGATTGTATTGGAAAGGTCAGAGGCTTGAAACAGGTAATGTACATGTCATATAAATGCCGTATCTTCGCTCATTCAAAAGTTATCAGCAATGTTAAAAATTTTGAAAATTAGGTCAAACTTCAAGGTCAGAGGGTCGGAAATCATAGCATATTCGGAAACGTCTTATCATAAGTAACTCACATGTCAAACAGGAATGTATGTTTTCTTTGATTCAAAAGTTATAGCCAATGTTCAGATGTTTCAAAAGTAGGTCAAACTTCAAGGTCAAGGGGTAAAAAAATCAAAGTACATTTGGAAAAGTCTTGTCACGGGTAATGTACTTGTGAAATATAAAAGCCATATCTTTTCTCATTTAAAAGACCAAAGATTATGATAAATTTTTAAGACAGACTGAAAGGTGAATGAGAGTTAAAGTCCCCTCGCTTTTGCTAATGCAGGGGACAAAAAGAAAAGCGCACTCATTTTATAAAACAATATAAGATGTGTACATGTATTACATTCTGCTAATTCAAAAGCAGTGCATAAAAATAGCTTAATAGTACCAGACACGTAGTATCTTTTTTAAAAGTTGGGGGAGTAACAGCCCCCCCCCCCAAATATGACTTTTTGCCTAAAAAGTTTTTGACAAACAAAAAAATAGGGGAGGGGGGGTCCAATCTCGAAAATCCTTTTTCTTGGGGGGGGGGCAACTTTTTTGAACAAAATCTTTTTTAATGGAACTGACTATACTACAAAAGAAGGGGGGAACCGGTCTTTGTATGAACATTTTCATTTTCATACGATATTAACAGTGAAACATTGTTTGGAAAAAGGGGCGGGGCTCTGATATCAGTAAAAAAATATACATAAACATGTATATGGCTTTCCATAATTTACAGACTAGGACCCGAATCATTATTAAGTAAAGTATAGGCTTAAATAATGAATACATGTTTTACTTTGCATGTAACTTTTTAAAAAAGTATAGATAGAGTATCATGTCAGCTAAATATTCATTTTGAAAATTAGATCTGTTTCATATTTGGATATTTTACTTGAAAAAGACGTTAATTGTAATCTAACTATCAAGGTTTATGATAAACTTGATGACTTTAACTTTTCAATCGTCAACTTCCCTTACTTATGCAGCAATATACCTTCATCACCTGCATACGGGGTTTATATCTCTCACTTGATTCGATACGCAAGAGCATGCTCTACGTATGTACAATTTCTAAAACGCGGTGAATTATTGACAAACAAGTTGATGAAAAAAGAATATCAGCAGTCTCGTTTAAAGTCATCATTTCGTAAGTTCTATGGTCGATACAATGAACTTGTCAGCAAATACAATTTATCATTGAGTCAAATGCTGACTGACGTTTTTCATACTAATTGTTAGGCCATTATTTACACACTGAATTGTCGACGGATTTTCCGTTATTTCCCGATCATGACAAGGAGCACACAAGGTCGACAGGGGATGCTCACTCCTCCATGGCACCTGATCCCACCTTTGATATTTTGGAGGTCCGTGTTTGCTCTGCTCTTATTTTGTATTGTTTAATGGACTTATGAGCTTGAATACTGTTCGTTATCTCCATATATTTCATGTTCAAAGGTGGGGTCCAGGTTATTAATAAGCTTAATACGTCATGTCCTCAAAATAGCACTTAGCTGGATTATAAATTATAAACGAACAAAATCTATGCACGTTTTTATGCATAATTTAAGCTTGATATCCACCTTATTGCATATCTATGGTGAAATATTTCTGCCCTTTACATGCAAGATAAATTGTCAACATGCGAGAAAAGTTCTCAATATCTTGGTACTTACTGGCAAAAAAAGAGCAATTAACTGTTTCTTATTACCGAGAATTTTAACAAGTAATAAATACTTCCAGCCGAGTAACTCAAACCTTGACTTCCTATGTTGTGAAAACTCCTTGATTTCAAGAGGCAACCAAGTAATGTACCGGATGATAAAATATTGATTACATACTTCAATTAAAACATATCAGATCCTTCTCTAAACAACATTTGAACTAGCGTTAAGCTGTTTAAAGCCTAAACTACAGAAGAACAAATACCAAGTGTCCATGTATTTTTTTTTATTACCAGGTCACTGTGAAATATTTTTATCTATATCAGAAAGAACGTTGTTTTAATTAATGATCAACATGATCCCTTACAAAAATACATTGAATAACCCAATAAATTTATTGAAAACAATGTGGTGCCACAACAGGGAATATTCAGGGAAGCAAAATAATATCTTTGAAAAAGATTTGCAGTCAGCATTTAGCAATGCATGTTGATTCGTAATTTATTTTCTTTACATTTTTGTTTTTAGAATGGTAAATCTCAATTTTGTTTATCCATAATGATGATAATTACCTACCAGTCGTGCATGCAGCCTAAAAGAACTCAATGGTCTCCCTCGATGTTTTCTTATTGAAGTTAAAAATCACTCATTTTCGTACGGTCAAAATTTCGAGGTACATCGGAAAAATAATTGGTTTGTGGGGCTTTGATTTCGTGGTTTAAAAAGGGATGGCAGATAAATATAATATGATAGTTAAAAATCTTAACATTCCCGAAGGAATTTGTCGACACTTCATGCTACAAAACAACGAAAATTAAACTCCACAAAATTGTTTGATTTCACAATAGGCTCAGTTTAGATATACCTTGTGTAAGTTTCCTTTTTAAAAAGGTTTTTCTAACTCACAACCTCTTGTTTATTATAATTTTTATGTATGTCTTACACAGCACTGATCTCGGAGAAGACATCACAGCTTCTTCTTCCGGAATGGCTTCCATCTTTAGAGTACGGGATACTATCGATCGTGTCTGTTATAGGCCTTATGACGACAGGATGTGTTTGTCTAAAGTGTTGTAAGGCACTGGGTGTCATGGATGAAAGGAGAGATGAGGATACCGATGACGAAGATGAAGAAGAAAATTTCAGAAAGACCAGAAAAAATGTCACTTTTCCAGATGAATACGTCAAAACAAAGAGCAAATGGATGGACTTTTGAAACCATCAAACATCACACATGTGACATTTAATGTGTTAACTATAATTTTATGCATCTTTTTTAAAATATTTAATAAGACAGCTAACCACTTTGACCCACAGAAAAATCATAATTGCTAGAGCGATGTTATACGGCGTCTGAGCTTGAAATCGAAATAAACTCAAATTTTAATAAATCGAACATATAAACAGAAGTCATAACAACTTAAAATATACGTTATGCATTGGTGGTGGTTTTGCCTTCAATGGTTCTTGAAATTTTATGTCACACCATCATTTTTTCAAATGTAATGAATAATTTCCAAAGATTAGTTTAGTAGGTTATATAATGCAAAAAATTCTCTTTTATTTTCGATTGATTTTCTGTGCTAACGAATACTTAACTCTGACCTTAGGAAATATAAGTTTGATAGGTTTATCGAATACTTAACTCTGACCTTAGGAAATTTAAGTTTGATAGGTTTATCGAATATTAACTCTGACCTTAGGAAATATAAGTTTGATAGGTTTATCGAACACTTAACTCTGACCTTAGGAAATTTAAGTTTGATAGGTTTATCGAATACTTAACTCCGACCTTAAGAAATTTAAGTTTGATAGGTTTATCGAATACTTCACTCTGACCTTAGGAAATTTAAGTTTGATAGGTTTATCGAATACTTAACTCTGACCTTAGGAAATTTAAGTTTCATAGGTGTAGCGACAATAATCTTCTCAAAGCTGATAAAATATTTGTGATTTTTTTTCTAAGTATCTTAATACATTTTTAATATATGCCCATTTTGCTCTCTTGAAATGTTTGTGATAAAGAAATTGATGTTGTGATTGTACATACATTTTTTCGCTTTGGTTGGTATGCAAAATGCCTTTTTCTTTAACAGCGTCGCTATAATAGTTATGAATTAAGGGAATAAAAAACACGAGAATTTTGTCTTTTTTTCTGATTTCTTGCTACCAGGTTTATTTTAGGAATGAATGATATAGGAAGTTTTTAAAATGGAAATCGAGAAAATGATAAAATGGCGATCATATCGGGATGCTCAAAAAGAAGGAGTAACAATTGTCCGCTATTTGACTTGAAAAATCTTATAGATACATTAATGGGAGTTTTCTTTGCAACTTTAAAACACTAAGGAAAATATAAGAAAGATTAAAAATGAACTTGGTTGGTCTAGTAACCAAATATTGTGAAATTCAAAGGACACTTACCAATCGAGGTCGTTTCCCAGTGAAGATATTTTATCATTTTTTATAACAGATTTTCATTAGTAGCAATTGAGGTAAACATTGGAACATAAATATTACACCAAGATCCCTCGCACTTGAGTCAGGTTATGGTCTGCATTAATGTCACCTCTCGAAAAGGTTCATACAAAAATTTTGCTCTCACTAAGTTCATATAAGAAAATATATTTACAATTATTATATAGTTGAATAATTCTAGCTCTTTTATTGGCTGAGATCCAACATTGTAGAAAAAAAACTACTATGTGTATGTTCAGTTGCACGTGGCCTTCCAGATGAGCATAAGAGGGATATTTTTTTTCTACCTCTAATAAAAAATGGATCGGGAAATTCCAAATTGATACAAATCGTTCTGAAAATTATTTCACTGGCATCCGACTTCCACTCAAAGGAACATAATATTTAGAGACATAAAATCACGGGTTGGGGGTGAGTTTTGCATGGGGGACTATCCCCTTCAAAAAATTTTTCTGAGCGTAAAATATTGGTTTTAATTTTGTATGAAAAGGTTAAAATTAAATTTGGAGTTTGGAGAATCTTGTCTTTTTTGGAACTAGTCAATTTTATCAGGTAAGTTGTCATTTTTTCCCATTTAATCCACCTTTTCAAAATCTATCCTTCGTGCCTGATATTTGATTATTTTTTTCTACATTGCATAGAAAATCTACAGAAGGAAAATGGCATCATTTAATCATTAAATCATATAAATGTAATGAAACAATTTTTACGATTTATAACTACCAAGAACTAGACTTGAGTCAGAACATTTTCTACTCAGTCAGATAGGTTATGATTGCTGTAAAATATAATAGCCATCGTGCACTGTAGTGTTCAAAACTGAGTTCTGAATGTAATGGCATGATTTAATTGCACATCATAGCAAAATAGGGTTTTCATGTTTAGGTAGTTTAGTTTTTTGTTTTTTTGTGGTTGTTTTTTTCTTCCTCTGCTTGTCAATTCTTTTGGAGGCTGTCCTCCTACCCCTTTCAAAAATGTTGATACTGGTCTATCAAAAGGCGTACTAATGGCTTTTCAAAAAGCATAATAACACTTTGCAAAAAGATGTAATAAAGCCTTTCAGCTCGTTCCGTGATCGGAAGGTCGTGTGTTCGAATCACGGCTGCGTTCGACTTAATAATCGATTTAAAAAAAGGATAGCAACTGTTCCTTCGCCAAGCGCTCGACACTTTGAAGTGAAAGTTGCGAATCCTTCTGATAAGACTTTAAAACATAGGCACAATGTCACGGCAGGTTTTGGCACGATAAAGACCCCTCACTGCTCAATAACCCTGAGCGCCTAGTAAAAGTTTAAAGCCCTTCACCGGTATATGATGACGTCTCTATATGAGTGAAAAATCATCGAATGGGACGAAAAGCAACATAAAAATAATCAATAAATAATGCCTTTCTGAAAGGCGTAATTACGCCTTTCATTTGAAAATCTTTTGAAAAACCGTAATAACGCCTTTTGAAAAGGCGTAATAGCGACTGTTAAAAAGGTGTTAAAACGCAAAAAAAGCATTTATTGGCATTATAATGTCTTTTCATTTCGCGTTATAACGCTATTTGAAAGTCGTAATAATGCCTTTTTTAAAAGACGTTAAAATGCAAAGAGAATAGGCGTTATTACCCCTTTTTGGCGTTATTACGCCTTTATTGTAATTATAATGCTTTTTCACTTCTTGTTACTACGCCTTTTTTCGCGTTAAAACGCCTTTTGAATGGGCGTTATTACTCCTTTTAATTTTTTTTCACCCATAAATTGAGCAATTAATAAAAGTGGCCTCAAAAGGTTAATATTTGGGCTTCTTTTGATTGTCCATCATACATATTTTATGTTGTCAAACAACGAAAAAAAATTGTTTGGGGGAGAGGGGTGGGTGGATGAGGGAGTGTGTGTGTGAGGGTGTGTGTGTGTGGTTTCATGAAAATGCTCCAATTAAGTTCAATTTTTAAACCGAGGCAGGCTACTAACAGATAAGTTTGTGGTTTAGGATTTCTCGTTTAAAGTCAGCATTTCGTAAAAGCTATGGTCCTTATACTAAACCTTGTTAGCAAATATAATCCATCACTGGATTGCATTTTGGTTGACTTGATTCATATCAATTGTTAGGCCTTTTTTATACCGAATTATTTGACTACAGAGTGTTCGGTGTAAAATACATAGGGCTCACGGCAGAGGATTCTTACTTCTCCTAGGCACCTGATCCCACCTCTGGAATTTACAGAGGTCCGTGTTTGATGCTCTTTTCACAGATTTGTGTTGTTTATAGATTTTTTTTTTTTTTTTAGATTCGATCACTTTTCGTTCTCTTCACCTTTTCTATTTTAGACACTTCTGAAATTTGAAAAATGAAAAATATTTAGATGTCGAATAGTGATCAATCTCATTAATCTTCTAAACAATGCAAATTGTGAAAAGGGTAATAAATGATTCTTGTCAAAGAGGAGTAAACACCCTCTGTCCGCTGGTCTCATCCGCTGTGAGTTCTTTATGATGATCTGGTGAATGTAGTAATCCGTATTAAAATTGTCGGATGTATAAAAGCTAACAATTAGTATGATAAAATGTCAGTCAAAATACGACCCAGTTTTGGTTTTTATTTGCAAACAAAGTCATTAACGACAATAGAAGCAAAATGCAGAGCAAGATTGTTGAAAGCAATATAATTGTAATATATTTGTCAATAGCCTTTCTGGGTTTCAAACATTGATCGTACTTAAAACATGCTCTTGTGTACTGAATCAGCTGGAAGACATAACACCATATGCAGACAGTTGTGGAGCCTTACTGTATAAATATAGGAAGTTGATGATGGAAAAGCTTAAGTCATCTCTTTCGACTATTTCATCTCATTGACTTCGAATAATTGCCGCCTACTTCGCAATATCTAGCACCTGCAAGACCAAAGTATGAGGGCTAACTAATCTTATCTCTAAAATTAAAATAAAGTAATGTATCTCCAGCGTATGGTTTAAATGCAATGAGAAAACAATTTATTTGAAGATACCCTTGAAAACTGATTGTTCAGTAATGCCTTGATTTTAGATAATTAAACTTCTGTTTGGCACAGATATCAAGATTTCATTTATATTTTTGTATCTAGTTTAATTAGGTATTAAATTTAATGTTTTATCACAAGTTCTGGGACTTTCCGTTGAGCTTCTTTAATGCATGTCCATTTAAAATCAAAGCTTTTTTAGTTCCAAGTAAACTCTTTTGCTGTGACAATACTCTTTGAGCATTTAAACCATATTTAAAACTTTTTTTTCTTTCCTTGTTCTTGGGTGCTTTTGGATAGTATATATAAGTATATATACTTATCTTATATTTCTCTTTTCTTTTGATAGGGTACAGCAGTGCTCATGAAGTGTATTGCTGGTCAAATTTTCTGATTGATTTTAAAGTCAAAACATTCGAGATGTATCAGTGAACAGAGATAAATAAATGTCTTGGTTATTTTTTATCTGACGGTTACAGTAATCCCAAGAATTCAAGAGATTTTCTATGAAACAAATCTTATAACAATATTCTGTCCACATGGTTCGGCTGCTAAAATAATTTCGTTGACGCCAGCTATGAGTGCTCCATTTCTGTTAGCGCTTGTCTTTTATTTCTTTTTGTATAATTTTTTCATAGCACAATGCTGTGATTCAGACTGTACATACGAAACATGGAAAAGCTGGAGTTGTACTTGTGATAATGCCACCCAGATTAGAATCAGGGACATGTGCTGTCCGGGAGGAGTTACAACC